AAAGTGATCAATTTGAAAATAAGTACTTCACATCCATGTATAGAGTTACTTATTTTCAAATTGATTACTTCCTTCCTTTCTTTGGAAGATTCTCTCATCCCCGTTTTTTGTATCAGATGGAGTAGTAGAAAGCCAAAAACTTTCTTTCCCAATAAATTTAAATTTTCATGGTTTTTTTTATCGCTTCCTGGAAACCATTTTATTTGTCCATTTCTTTCAAGTATCTGGAAAACACTGCAGCCTCAGGAACTTATTGCATTTTTTCCATCTTGATAATCCCAAATTCATATACCATTCATACACCTTGTTGAAGAAAAATTGACGCATATGCTCTAAACATAATTTTTAGGAGTTTTGATTTAATACATTTTATCTCAAGATATTAAGAGTGGGCATGCTGTTAAACCAATTGGTCTCCCTTTATTATCCTGAATTTTTTGAAGGGAATTGTCAATAAAAACATATTTTTGAGACTGACAGTCATTCGACTTATTTAGTAGAAATAAATGAAGATGTATCAGACAAGATATATTTTTACATCGGGCCTTTCAGCTATCAAAAAGTCTTGTGAAAATTACAGTGGAAACTTCATCAGAAACGACAAATTGAATGACACAGTTTAGAAAATGATACTATTGCTGAAACTATTAAAATATGTCAAATCGTAAAGAAATGAAGGAAGTGAATTCTTCGAAATCGAAGCTCACTTATCTGTTATCTCGTCAACGACATCTTTGACGGTCAGTCTCCAACTTCTAAGAAAAAAATTGGATCTGGAGAATGAAAAAGCAAAGCATGCAATGGAACAAGATATACTGAAAAACAATTTGTGGATTATCCACAAAGAGAAGAAATTTGCCGTAACTGACTGGTATACAGGGTGTTCCTGGACTTCCTCTCGAGAATGTATAGATGGGGTCAAAATATCACCAGTACTTCACATAACTTTTGTTCCTAAAATCCTTCGTTACCAAGTTACAGGCCCACGTTATAAAATGAAAAATGTTCTTTGATAACTTTTCAAGTGAATATTCAAAATCAACGAAATTTTGGTGATTAACTAAACAAATGAATTGCTTTGAGCTTTCATGCAGGAGTCAGTTGTTGTACTACAAAGTCAGAAACCGACTACCCCCGATGGTTCACACCACAAAACTTTGAAAGGACAGATATTTTTCAAAATTTATCAACAAAATTAGGTTACTTATAAAATTTTCTGAATAAAAGTAATCGTGTGAAAAATCGATCGGAGCAATGATTTTTGATAAAAATGCACTTTTGTTCGACGACATCCAACCTGAGATGTCTACCATTATTCGAGATTAATTGTGAATGAAAATAGAAACGATAGGTAAAATGTTTATAATACAAACATGTTAACTTAACAAAACTCATGGTGTAAATATCAATCGCAAACCTCAAGAGCAAACAGAAATGAAAAATTCGCTACAAAAACTGCACGATATGACCCCCTTCTCTCTCAATACATTTTCGTAGTCTGCGAAGACACCCTCTCTGTACTTGAAATAGCATTCCAGGGTCGTTTCGTATGGCTTCACAATGTAATGTTATTCTATTCAACAATGCATCTCTTGTGTGAATAGGTNATCAATTTTCCACATGAATACTTTTATTCAGAAAATTGTCTCTAAGTAACCTCATTTTGTTGAAAAATATCTGTCATTTCGAAGTTTTGGGGTGTGGACCATCGGGGCAAAACAACTGTCTCCTGCATGAAAGCTCATCAAATCAATTCATTTGTTTAGTCAATCACTAAAATTTGGTTGACTTTGAATATTCACTTGAAAAAATATAAAAGAAAAACGTTTTTCATTTTGTAACTTTGAGGGCCCGTATAACTTGGTTAAGAACGATTTCAAGAACAAAAGTTATATAAAGTACTGGTGAAATTTTGACCCCATCTATACATTCCCGAAAGGAAAAGAGGAAGTCTAGGGACACCCTATATATCAGTCAGTTACGGCAAATTTCTTCTCTTTATGGATATTCTTTTGAAGAGTCCACGATCAAACTCCAAAAATGTTTCAAAGAAAATGCAAAATTTACTGATTCTGGCATGCTAATGTTATTCGTTGTCTGCTTCAGTCTAGTTCGAGGAATGATATGAAGGAATTTGGTTTTCATTTATAGGAAATCATCAACTTCATGTTGATGATGACCATTACCTTGCACTGACGAGAGGCCAAATAGCCCTAAACCGGTCTGCAAGTGTGCCCGTTCCTATAATTGAAAATCGATTCCTTCTGTGAAGATTCCTGCACTGACACCTGCTGGATATAATCCAACACCCTTCGTGGTATTAGCCAAGGGAGTAGTTGTTTTATGATAGATGTCAGTCCATTAACCTATAGTATAGGGAGTTGAGACTGGCCTGAACGAATTGTTCCTTTAGATGATTTCATTTATAGCGTCTTCAAGTATGCCCACTGACTATATGTGAAAAGTTTTCTTTCCTCATACGAGGAATTGGGCAAATTTCGGATATGCGGTGGGTTATCTCGTTTACAGGCAGATGGGACGTTGACATACTTATTATTTGTTGTCCGCTTCAGCTTAGTTTGAGGAATTATACTCTGAAGGAATTCGATTTCCAATTATTGGAAATCATCGATTTTATGTTGATGATAGACACTACCTTGCACTGACGAGAGGCCAAACAGCCCGAAACCGGTCTGCAAGTGTAATCCAATAATTGAAAATCTATTGCAGTAGTTGTATCGCCAACAGCATATGCAGGAATAACTTCAGAGAAGAATCCTGCACTGATACCTGTCGGATATAATCCAACGCCCTTCGTGGTATTAGCCAGGGGAGTAGTTGTTTTCTGATAGGTGTCAGTCCACCAACCTACATTGTAGGGAGTTGAGACTGGCCTGAATAAATTGTTCCTTTAGATGATTTGATTCATAGCCAGTCTTCAAGTATGTGAAAAGCTTTGAACTAGCTTCAGTATGAGGACGTCTCATAATTCAAAACATTTGGAAAACCGGAATCAGATGGGACGATTCTTTAGATTAAGAAGTTCATGACAATTGGTTAGCTTGGATAAAAGAACTTCAAAAAATTAACAACCTAGGACCAAGCCATTCCCGATGTTATTCGACAAACATTTCGGTTCCTAACACTAAAGAAATTCATATCTTCTGTGATGGAAGTAAACAGAGTTTTGCTATTGTAGTTTAACTTAGAGTGGTGATAGATGGAAAATGTGATGATTTCTTGATTTTTGGAAAAGTTCGAGTCACGCTAACAAAACAGATCTCGATTCTGAGAAGTCATTTATCACAGGCCCTCAACAATGAACTTGATCTCAGAATTGACAAAATGTTTTATTGATCAGATTCCAAGATGATGTTATATTGGAATAATAGAAATTCCAATCGTCTTGGTCAGTATGAATCTCAAAGGGAAGGTGAAATACTGGAACTTGACAATGTCGAGAATTGGCATTAGATACCAAATACAATAAATTTCCAAGATTGGTTTTCCAGATCAAAATTTCTATAAGACGATAATTCTATCTGGCCAAAAAGAACCATAACAGACACCGGAAATGAAAATGAGTCAGTCACAATTATGACTACAGTAATTTCAGAAAATCATCCTTCATTACCCGATATCAACAGATTTTCTAAATGGAAAAAATTCCTGAAAATGACCGGATGGGTTCTGAGAAAAGCAAAATTGTGGACATCAGGAATCCGACAACCAGTATGCAAAGTTGATCAGGCTAGAAGATTTAAAAAGTGCAGAAATGACTTGGATTCCACAATGCAAGAAAGTAGTTTTCCTGAAGGAATTAAAACACTTAAACTTGGAAAAAACATTTCCAAGCAAAATCGGTCTGAAAGCCTATCACCAGCTTTGAATCATAAAAATATTCTAGTTGTGGTGGACAAACAAACTCAGATTCTATAATGGATTTGCCAACTGGGTATCCACCAATCTTACCCAAAAAACATCCATCAACTTATCTCTTCTTGAAAAATCTACATAAAAAAATTGAGATTCTCAGACAAAAAGACTAACCTAAAAGGAGCATTTGAAGAACTGAAGAAGCCATTTTTCAATCTAGATGAAAATGAAAATCTATCAAAATTTGTAAGCCAAAGATATACTGTGGAACTTCATTCCATCAGTCACATAGGCGGAGCTTGGAAAAGGATGATTCAAATGGTAAAAACTTCCTTTTATGTGGTCCTTAGAAACCAAAATCTGGAAGACGAAATGTTGGTGAAAATGTTTGCAGATGTCAAGAAGATGGTAAATACTAGATCATCAAGAGTGTCTTTGGATCCAGATGATTAAGAAGTCTTGACGCCGCACCATTTTCTTATTAGATCTGCAAACACAACTTTTCTCTCTTTCACAAGCAACAATACGGCTTGAAGAAGCCCTGGAGAAGAGAACTAGTACCATTAGTAATCATAATTAAAGGATATATCCTAATCTTACAAAATATAATAACTAATAACAATTTACATTTCCACACAGTGCCAAAAATATTAATAACATTCAAATCTGTATATAGATAATAACAACAATAAAGATAGAGAAAAGAAATAGATCTGTTTAAAAAAATTCTATTTTTCCGTTAACCAGCTTTCGCACCCCTACGAACGACAACCCTCAGAAGTCGAAACTTGTGCGAGCTAAGGATTAACGAGCTCTTGCCTTTTAACGTGTGATTCCTAACACGGGTTGGACGATAGCAAGTGGAAATCAATCGGTCAGACTAGGGCTTGAACCACCGACCAACACGGCAGTCAATTCGAGTGAGTGAACAAAGCACCCACGTCGAACCGCCTGGCTACAGACCGATAAAAAGATAATAATAAAGAAGATACACAGTTTATAAGAACCAAAGTTGAAAACAAATATTGATATAGTACCACAGAGTACAGCAACTGGCAAAAAAATTTATGAGTGTTTGGACCAAAGAATATCTGCCAAATGTAACCAAAAGAAGTAAATGGACAGATAATTGAAGACCTATTCAAATAAATGACGTTGTAATCAAAGATGGAAATTTTACAAAAATTCTCAGAGACTAGAGCGAATTGAAAATGTCTTTCCCAGAGATGATGGTAGAATATGCGTAGTATCAGTGAAAACAAACAATGGTGTACTGAAAAGACCAGTTTTAAAATTAGCAAGAGTTTTCTTCGAGACTTAAGATTAAATTTAGACTAGTGGATAAGGCAATATTGTGAAATTAATTTAAGACACTCAAGATGCAGGTACCTATGGTATAAATAAGGATAACATTGTAAGTATATTTAGTTTAATCTTCCTCTTGAAGATGATCACTTGGTGATCGAAACACATGTCGAGGTGTTGAATGATATATTTTTACACATGTGCGACCTTCTACAAGAAAGAATCCTAAAAGTAAAATTGAGATTGTGGGGTATGAATGATCCAACTGATCAACATTGTGTCAACATAAAAGATAAAGTGAAAGTAAAGCTTTGGTGTATAAACAGCTAAACGTAATTTTTTTACAAAATATCTTTCTCATATTTTCAAGTTTCTTACTAATTCTCATTTTTCATGTTATTTACTTTTTTAATTTACTCATGCGATACTTTTGATCCCTGTATTTTTTCATTTTGAAATTTCATTCATTTTACTGTTTCCTCAGATTTCACATCTGTTAACAGTTTCCTTTTAACAATGTAGGATCGAACATCTAATATTCACTGAGACACATCGTCAACCACAGTTGTTACAAATCCTCCTTCAAGACGTCAGGTAAATATAATCTACATAGCTCAACAAATCCAGGTTTACAATGCTATCATGGTTTTAATTACATCAGGTGTTAGAAATCCTCTTTGAAAATGTTGTGTGAATAGGGAAAGTGTGTGATTAAACTGAAATATTTTTCACAACAGAAAAAATATATATTACATACAAATAAAAATTATGCTCACAATTATTTTTCATCTTTTTTGATTTTCACCTCTTCTGAAACCGGATTTGCATTTCTGAAGTTTGGAAACTGTTCCCAGGGTGCACTCAACTCAAACTTCCTGAACTCTTGTGCTAACTCCAGAGGTTCAACGACAACACGTTTTTTTTCATCATCATACCTGACTTCAACATATCCACTGAGGGGAAAATCTTTTCTAAATGGGTGTCCCTCAAATCCATAGTCGGTGAGTATACGCCTTAAATCTGGATGGTTTGAGAAGAAAACTCCATACATGTCCCATATTTCCCGTTCATACCAGTTTGCTGCTTTGTATATATCATTACAAGATTCAATGGGCGTCAATTCATCAGTATAGGTTTTTACACGAATTCGTGAATTGTATCGAAGAGAGAGTATATTATAGATAACCTCGAATCTACAATATTTTTGTAAGAAAAAAGGATTTTTTTTGAAATAACACCTACCTATTTGATCTAGAGGGAACATCCATTCCCGCTATATCGACCAAATTTGAAAATTGTGCATTATGATGATCTTTCAAAAATTGCAGTACAGGCAACACACCATCCGGTACTATTAGAAGTTCCAGCTCGTCGCCTGCCGTTATTTGGACTTTTTGAATGTATTTTGGGAGACATTCGGCAACATATTTTCCAAAATCTGAAAGCTGACTGCTAGCTACAACATTGATTTTCCTAACTGTAGGTCGCGTTTCTTGTTGTACTTCCACTGCCTCAGTAGAAAGTGCCCTACTCGCAATATTGTAAACCTGGTTGAACAAAGGTCTTGAACGAACCGTTGGTGTTAATATTTTTTGCAGAAACATTTTATTTTTTTGTTAAAAAATGCTATTACCTAACACTCTAACACCAATATTAATTCGAATGTTTTGACAACTTTGACATCTGCCAATTTGCAATCTATGCTAAAAAACGTCACGGCATTAGTGGCATTTAGAGAGAGAAGAGGCGTNTCGTTTTTGAATACATGCTCGAATACGATTAACTTACTGCAAAGGCTAATTGGAATTCATTTTCTGAGATTTCATTATTTTTCGCCTTTTTTAGATATTTTATCTTTCATTAAAAATTTCATCTCAGAATCTGAATCACTTATTGTAGAGGTGCTACTAGATTCGTTGCTTGTGTTTTCATTGTTTTTGTCATCATGAACACTTTCACTGTCTATCTCTTCACACTCACTTGGTTCTATCATTATTTCTATATAAGCATCGTTCACCCCGTCAAGTATTTTATCTAGCACAGTTTCTACAGTATCTGCTACCTCTTGATTAACATTTTCGTTTACAATATTAAAGTTATTCCTTACTGAGCCTTCCTCATTTTTTATCTCTATATGTAATACTTAGTATTTTCCTTACTTTCTAATCCTTCAGGTAAGATAACATTAGGACTGGTAGGGGGGTAGTTAATTATAGATCTGTTTTTGTTTAACCCTTAACTGGTAACGTGCCGTCTGTGAGACTGCAGCCATTTTTTTTTTCGAGGTATTTCTAAAATGGTCTCGCTTTTCTGCGAAATTTCGCTAACCTAATCTATTAGCTATTGGTGCCCCACCTATTATTCAACTGGGAGTAAATTTGGGTAAACGACGTATGAGAAATATTTACTATTTAGTTGAGCACAGTCCGTAAGAGGGTATATTTCAGTTTACGTAAGCGTTTCTCGCGACTCAAAGTAATGGCGGGTCCGTCAAAACGGGTACGTTATGATGACACTCTTTCGTGTTGGTATAACGAGACAAATAGTGACTGCAGTGAAATAGACAATGTTTCGGAGGATGAATTTGAAATTTCCGATCATGACAGTCACAGTGAGTTATTTCAAGGTAGTGATAGTGATGAAAGTGCGGAGGAAGAAGAAACAAATCGAGAAACAACAGGGGAAAAGAAATATTTGTATGGAAACAATCGCTACAGGTGGTGCACAACACCAATTATACCCACATCTCGTACGAGAAAACACAACATTGTAATGAAAG